ACCCACCCATCGTTTACTGAATGCCCAAGGTGTGCCAGGCACCACTGAAGTGTTGGGGACACAGCGGGGTGCAGGAGGGTCATGTGCCTGGTGTCATGAGGCTTCCATCCCAGTGACCTCAGAGATTCGTATAAGTGTGCAAAGCGATGTGTATCAGGATGCTCACTCCAGGGGCACCTAGGTGGCTCAGTCGGTTGGGGGTCTGCCTTCAGCTCAGGTCATGATCCTGGGGTCCTGGGATTGAGTCTCGCATTGGGCTCCCTGCTCAGTGGGGAGTCTGCTTCTCCCTCTCCCTCTGCCCCTCCCCGAACTCTTGTGCGCTCTCTCTCTCTTTCTCTCAAATAAAATAAAATCTTTTTTATTTTTTTAAAGGATGCTCACTCCAGCATAAAGCTGTAAACCGCCCCCCCATTCCCAGGGCGTGGATCCGAAGGAGCTTCTCCAGGGGCGGGAAGGGGGCAAAGGAGAGGGAGCAATGACTCTATCTCAGATGGTCCAAAGTGGCCTTGGCCTTCATTACCCACCTCACCCTGCTTAGTTACAAGCACAGCACTTGTCATAGATGGAGATCTCGTTCCCTGGCATGTTTGCATGCTTACCTCTGTGCTGGCTGCCCCCACTCGGGCAGAAGCTCTGAGAGAGAAGGGGGCCTTGCTTATCTTGGCCTCACAATGAAACTCTGTCTTGGGGCTGCCTGTGGTGGAGCCCACAGACACTTTGGAGATGTCGCGCCTCTGAGGGTCATGCCCATCACAAGGCTTCACATCCCCCCTCAGAACCTAAGCTGAGGGGGGACCCCATCCTCAAGGTTTGGAGTCTCGGGTCTCTGGCTGCCTGGTGAAGTCGAGTCTAGTGAACTCATGGGCTTCTTTTTCCCACAGGGGAGGGGTCTCGTTCTCCCATTTCGTCCGGGTCCCCTCTCCCTTGAGGTTTGCAGACAGAACCCATCAAAGTTCATCAGATGCCTCCAGGCTGACCTGGGTGCTTTGCTAGTCTAAGACCCAGCTCAGGCCTCCTTGGCTGGGGAGGAATGAGTGGGGGTGGAGAGGCAGTCATCCTTTCTAGAAGCTGACCTCCCAGACTGGACTCCAGTCCCAGATCCCGGAGAGCCCTCTGGCCCCTGTGCTTCACCCTACCGCAGACCTAAGAGCAGCTTACTCCTATCCCTCCCCCAGAAGTCCAGAGCAGGTCTCAAGCCTGGGCAGGGTCACACAGATAAGCATCCCCACTCTGCTCAGCTTCCCTTGGCTGGGTGCTCAGAGCAGGAAAAGGGAAGCCCCCTTCCCTTCCCCAGACTCTCTTCACTGGTTCCTTGGTTGTGCCTGAAGGCCAGGTGGCCGCACCTGGGGGTGGGGGTGGGGGAGGAGGAGGCTCTTCACCTGTTCCTGACAGGGTCTATACAGCCTGGATCCTGGAAGGAGGCCCAGAGGCTGGTTTTGGGAGCACAGTGCCTCCGGGCCCCCTCAGTCTCCCCGACTGCAGCCTGGCCCAAAGTCCTAAGACCCCTGCTCCTCCGGCCCGCCCCTCACCCACCTCGGGGGAGAGCCGGGGTAGACTCCTCCCGCAATCCCTCGGCGCCGGGAGTGGGGGGCAACCTGGGAGGGCCCAAAGGGAGGCGGGGCCGGGACGTCCCCTGGGCGGGAGGGCGGGGCGGCTCCCGGGCTCCTGTCCCGCCCGCCCGCCCTGACTCACCCAGGCTGGCCCGGGAACTCTGCGGGAGTCCCGGCCGCTCCGCTCCCAGGGACCCAGGAGTTGGGCCCAGCGTCCCAGCCGGAGCGGTGAGTAGGTGGGTCTCTGTCCCTGGGGACGCGGTGGTGGGGCAGGGGTCTGGCCCACGTGAGGACCGCCCCAGGTGACGCTGGCACTGCCGCCCGAGCCCGAGGCCCGCTGGGGCACACAAGGAGCTGGGGAGGGGGTGGGGGCAGCGAGAGACTGGGCCGTGGCCAGCCCAAGGGCGCCTGTCCGGGAGCGGGTAGGCCTGGCCAAGGACGGAATGAAGATCAGCAGGATGGGGGAGACCCCCGGGGGGGCGATCTTGACCCCATTCCCCTTTCCTTGCCTGCTGGGACAACAGCAACAACTCACCTCTGCGAACCCCTCAATGCCCCAGAACCATACCCCTTGGGGTCCTTACCAGGTTACCCCCTTTGGGACTATTAAATCTCAAGACCCCCTTCGCTACTGAGTCCTGGCAGGGCAGCTCAGAAAAGTACTGGGTTGGGAGTCCCTGAGCCGGGGCCTGGCCCAAGATCTGCTGCTAAGGGTCCACCCCCCACCCCACCCCGACCTCAGTTTGTTGTGCTTTTTTTCTTAGTTTCTCTCTTGTGTGAGTCAAGGATCGGACCTGTGTGCTCCAAAGCCTGTTTCAGAGCTGACAGCTATCACTGTGTCTTCCTTGCCCATTAGCATGGGCTGTGGGTGAGGAGGGGGCTGGACCAGGAGCACCCACCACTCCCTGTTTTGGGAGGCCAGCTGGGAGCTCAGGGGAGGGCCTGAGAGAGGAGAAGCAGGGGTGAGGTAGGGATGGGTGGAGCTCAGGCTGGGCAGGGGGCAGCACCTGGTCTTTAGGTGGAGCAGGGGCCCCCAACCTGGCCTGCAGAGCAGCGCCCTCCCATCTGTTCTCTGCCAGAGCTCCCCTCTGAGGTTCTTTTGGGGAAGATGTTGCATCTCAGCAAGAGATTCTCACCCACGACAATACGGGGGGTGCTACCAGCCAGACGAGACTTGGGGGTTATGCCTTAAATACCACTTGTAGCTGTGAAACCTCGAGCTGGCTATTTCCCTCCCCGTGAGTCTGAAAAATGAGGGTTGCAGCCCCCCCCCACCCCGGAGTTGGGATAAAAGGAGGTCCTGGAAGCATCTAGTGGCCATAAGCTGCATGTGGCCCTGTGGTTGTTTTCCTCTGGACTCCCCCTAGCTCGAGCCCTCTGCCCCGGGGCCCTCCCACCAGCCCTGCTCAGACAAAGGTGGGCCAGTCTTGTGTCTGTGGAGGCTTAATGGCAGGTTCAGACCATCCAGTTTGAGTCATGGAGACAGATAATGATAACCCCCGTGTCTGCCTCGGATGGTGTTGTGTATATACCTTGTTCCATGGGAGCCACGGGGCCTTCCACTGGGGACCCTGGGTGTCTCTGCCTTTTTGCCTTTGATTGTAGTCCTGGTGTGGGGGGTGCTAGAGCTCCCAGCAGTGCGAGATGGATGCAGCCAGGAAGTTGGTCCCTGCCCGTCTATTTCCGTCACAGCCCCCAGAAGTACTCTTCTTAGGTTAAACAGCAGAGTGGGGCCGCTCAGAGGGACAGGTCCCCAGGGCAGGGAGAACAGCGGCTGGCTGGAACTGGTCCTGGGTCTCCCCCTCAGCTCAGTGTGTACATCCAAACGCACACTCCAGAATGCCCCCAGGTGTCCCCTTGGATGGCTACAGTGTACATTGGGCCCCTGGGTGCTGTTGAGCCGCCCTACGTATGTTTCTCTAAGATCCCCCAGTGACTGGACTGATACACTCAGCTTTTCTTTTAGGACAGGGTGTCACACTGAGAGTGAAGGATGGGGCATTGTGGGAGGGAGCCTCAGTTCTGTCTGAGCACCCCCTGCCTGCGCCTGATTCTGGGTGAGTCAGGGCCTGAGTCAGGGGGCCCTGCCCCTGCCATCCCAAAGTGAGGGCCTCTGAGGGGATTGGAAGGTGTGGTGGACTGCCCCACCCTCAGCCTGGTGGGCAGAGCCCGCATCCTGTATCCCTGCCCACATCCACCCCATCCCCACCCAGGAGTCAACCCAAGGCCTCCTGCACCTGGGGACCAAAAAAGGGAGGGAGGGAAGTGTTGAGTAATTGGCTGAGGTGTGGGCCAGGGCCAGGTTCCCCCTAGGCAATGGGTGGGAGGCTGGGGGACCAGCTGATGGCCCAGAGGCCTCCCTCCCTTGCTCAGCCTCCAGGAACCCCACGTGGGAAAACTGGCAGGGTAGAGGAGCACGGATGCTGGGAGGGGCAGTCGAGCTTAGGAGCCCCCTTGGAAGCAGTGGGGGCCTTGCTGCCTCCCTTTCCTTCCATCCAGCCTCAGGGAGTGGAGGAGGGAGCCTCCCCAGCTGCCTGCCTGGGAGGGTGATGTCCCAGCTTGTGGCCCACACCCCCATGGGACTTGCTCCTGGCCGCCCGTATCTGAAATAATGATACCTTGGTCTAAAATGAAACCCAGGGACAGACAGAGTGGGCTGGCCGCCCAGGAGCCCAGCAGCCCAGCCCCAGCGGGGTTGTAGGTGTCGCTCCGGCTGCTCCCTGCGCTTTCCATTTCCCAATCCTCTGCCCTTCGGCCATCCTGACACCCCCCTACCCAGGTTTCTGTTTTCTGCCCCAGATTCTAGACACCAGCCCCTCTAGAAACCCAGGTGTCCTAGTCCTCCCGCCCCTAACTGACCAGCCTTCGGTTTTGCCACTCCCTGCCCCTCGGGCCTTGTAACCAGAGCCAGGCTCCAGCCGGCTTTTCCGGTTGGAGGTTGGAGGTGGTGCCTGGAGCGCCCCTGAAGGGGGTGGGGGGCCCACACCCCGGAAGTCCCGAGCCTGCCTCAGCGGCTCCCTGGCCCAGTGGCAGAGAGAGCCGGGGCCAGCCGCCCGGACACCAGGTGTCTGGAGTCAGAGCTGCAGAGCGAGCGTTTCAGGCTCGGCATCAAGGGTGGGGGGTGGCTGGGTTCTGGGAGAGGGCCACACGGGCTAGCTGGGGGACGGCGGCCCTGTGGACTGCGTGTCCGAAAGGGCCAGCAGCGCCAGATGGGGGCAGGGATCCCGGGGAGCAGAAGTGGGGAGAACGGTAGTAGCTTGGCTTCAGGAAGGAGGGGAGGTCTGGGGGAGAGGGGAAGGGGGCACACAGCTCGTGCGCTGTGCCAGATCTGGGCAGGCGAGAGCACAGATTGGGAGCAGAGGCACGTGTCTGGCTCGCTGGGGGCCCACGACCAGGCGCCCCCTCTTGAGAGTCTCTGCAACCCTTGCCTCTCCATCCCCCGCAGCAAAGATGATTCCGTTGGCCGAGTTCAAGCAGTTCACGGAACAGCAGCCCGCCTTCAAGGTGCTCAAACCCTGGTGGGACGTGCTGGCGGAGTACCTCACCGTGGCTATGCTCATGATCGGGGTCTTTGGCTGCACGCTGCAGGTAAGGCGCAAGGTTGGAGCGAGGCCTGGGCGTAGCGCGGCCTGGGCGTAGGGGGCGGGGCCCGGTGGGGGCGGGGCCCGGGGCGGGGCCCGGGGCGGGGATTCCGGAAGTCTTCCTGTTAACTGTCCCGCAATTCTGGAGCCCGGAAGCGTGAACTTCAAAGTGTTGACAGGGTTGTTTCCTTCCGCGGGCTGTGAGGGAGCATTCGTTCCATGCCTTTCTCCTTCTCCTTCTCCCCGGTGGCCTCAGGCATTCCTTGGTTTATAGATGACGTTCGCTTATCTTCCCTCAGTGTGTGTGTGTGTCTATGTCCAAAGGACACAGTCATACTGAATTAGGGCCCACCTTAATGACCTCACCTTAACTTGATCACATCTGCTCTGCAAAGACTATCTATTCATAGGTATTAAGGATTAGGACTTGAGTATCTTTTGCGGGGGCGGGGAGGGGGGAGAGCGGGAGGATCCCATTCAAGCTAACTCCTTTTTTCAAAGACTGAGGTGCTTTCAGAGGTTTAGCGATTCTTCCAAAATCACAGCCTGCTCAGGACAGTCAGGGACTGGGGCCTCCTCCCACCTTCAGCCCGCCTCTCCGCCCCCCACACCCCCACTATGCAGGCCGACCCAGCTCCTTGACCCTCTTCCCCGACCCTCATTCCCAGGTGACCCAGGACAAGATCATCTGTCTGCCCAGTCACGAACTCAGGGAGAATTTATCCGAGGCCCCATGCCAGCAACTGCTGCCACGGGGGGTCTCCGAGGAGATGGGGGGCCTCCGGGAGGTCAGCGGCCTCAAGAACAACCTGGACCTACAGCAGTACAGCTTCATTAACCAGCTCTGCTACGAGACAGCCCTCCACTGGTATGCCAAGTACTTCCCCTACCTGGTCGTCATTCACACCCTCATCTTCATGGTCTGCACCAGCTTCTGGTTCAAGTTCCCTGGCACCAGCTCCAAGATCGAGCACTTCATCTCCATTCTGGGCAAGTGTTTCGACTCACCGTGGACCACGCGGGCCCTGTCTGAGGTCTCTGGGGAGAACCACAAGGGCGCCACCGCGGGACGGGCGACAGCAACCATGGTGGCCTCCGCAGGGCCAGGGAAAGCAAGCGAGGGTGAGAAGGAAAAGGTGCTGGTGGAGCCTGAGAAGGTGGTCACTGAGCCACCGGCCGTCACCCTATTGGATAAGAAGGAGGGTGAACAGGCCAAAGCCCTGTTTGAGAAGGTCAAGAAGTTCCGTGTGCACGTGGAGGAGGGAGACATCTTGTATACCATGTACATCCGGCAAACGGTGCTCAAAGTCTGCAAGTTCTTTGCCATCCTGGTCTACAACCTGGTCTACGTGGAGAAGATCAGTTTCCTGGTGGCCTGCAGGGTAGAGACCTCGGAGGTCACAGGCTATGCCAGCTTCTGCTGCAATCACACCAAGGCCCACCTCTTCTCCAAGCTGGCTTTCTGCTACATCTCCTTTGTGTGCGTCTACGGGCTAACCTGTCTTTACACGCTCTACTGGCTCTTCCATCGGCCCCTCAAGGAGTACTCCTTCCGTTCGGTGCGGGAGGAGACCGGCATGGGTGACATACCGGACGTCAAGAATGACTTTGCTTTCATGCTACACCTCATCGACCAGTATGACTCGCTCTACTCCAAGCGCTTTGCTGTCTTCCTCTCTGAAGTCAGTGAGAGCCGCCTGAAGCAGCTCAACCTGAACCACGAGTGGACGCCTGAGAAGCTGCGGCAGAAGCTGCAGCGCAACGCCCGGGGCCAGCTCGAGCTGGCCCTCTGCATGCTCCCGGGGCTGCCCGACACTGTCTTCGAGCTCAGCGAGGTGGAGGCGCTCCGGCTGGAGGCCATCTGTGATATCACTTTCCCCCCGGGCCTCTCACAGCTGGTGAACCTGCAGGAGCTCAGCCTGCTCCACTCGCCCGCCAGGCTGCCCTTCTCCCTGCAGATCTTTCTGCGGGACCGCCTGAAGGTCATTCGCGTCAAGTGTGAGGAGCTCCGCGAGGTGCCCCTGTGGGTGTTCGGGCTGCGCGGCCTGGAGGAGCTGCACCTTGAGGGGCTCTTCCCCCCAGAGCTGGCTCGGGCGGCGACCCTCGAGAGCCTCCGGGAGCTGAAGCAGCTCAAGGTGCTGTCTCTGCGGAGCAATGCCAGCAAGGTGCCAGCCAGTGTGACTGACGTGGCCGGGCATCTGCAGCGGCTCAGTCTGCACAACGATGGGGCCCGCCTGCTGGCCCTTAACAGCCTCAAGAAGCTGGCGGTGCTGCGGGAGCTCGAGCTGGTGGCCTGCGGGCTGGAGCGCATCCCGCATGCCATCTTCAGCCTGGGCGCGCTGCAGGAACTCGACCTCAAAGACAACCACTTGCGGTCCATTGAGGAGATCCTCAGCTTCCAGCACTGTCGCAAGCTGGTCACGCTCAGGCTGTGGCACAACCAGATCGCCTACGTCCCCGAGCACGTGCGTAAGCTCCGGGGACTCGAGCAGCTCTACCTCAGCCACAACAAGCTGGAGACCCTGCCCAGCCAGCTGGGCATGTGCTCTGGCCTCCGCCTGCTGGACATCTCCCACAATGGGCTCCGCTCCCTGCCACCTGAGCTGGGCCTCCTCCAGAACCTGCAGCACCTGGCTCTGTCCTACAATGCCCTGGAGGCCCTGCCCGACGAGCTCTTCTTCTGCCGCAAGCTGCGGACGTTGCTTCTGGGCTACAACCACCTGAGCCAGCTCTCTCCCCAGGTGGGGGCGCTCAGAGCCCTCAGCCGCCTGGAGCTCAAGGGCAACCGCTTGGAGGCCCTGCCAGAAGAGCTTGGCAACTGTGCGGGGCTCAAGAAAGCGGGGCTCCTGGTGGAGGACACCCTTTACGAGGGCCTGCCGGCAGAGGTGCGAGAGAAGCTGGAGGAGGAATGAAGCGTTGGTGGGGAAGGTTGGGGTAAGAGGCCTTCTGGATGCTTCCACCCCAGAATCTCTACTGTTGTCTTCAAGAGAGGTGGCCAAGAGGGCCCAGGCCAGGAGAGGAGGAGCAGACGCATCAACCTTGTGGGGTCCAGGCAAGATCCTGGGACTGGTCTGTCTGAGAAGAGACAGGAGGCTGTGGATTTGGGGTGGAACATCATAGAGGGATTAACTCAGTCATAGGATTCTCAGGCCAAAGGTACCCGTGTCTTTGGCGGGCTGTCCTGCCCTGCCCCGGGACATTCTAGCTCAGTTAGTGCCATATATGGGGGTGGGGCATATCCCAATGGGATTTCAACCTTGTCCACCGCCCCCCACCGGCCCCGACCAAAACAGCTTATCTCTGGGGTTCTCTCCCAAGGAGGGGACACAGACACAAGGGACCAGCGACCCTCGCCCCCAACTTTGATGCCAATCCCTTATTTATAAGTTGTTTGCTACAGACACGTGAACTCAGAAAAGTGGTTCTCATATTTGGCTATGCATCAAAATCAACATCCCCAAAACAAAACATCCCAGGCCCCACCCCTGAAAGACTGACTCAGGTCTGGTTGGAGGCCAGGAACCTGCCTGTAAATAAACATCCCAGGTAACTGATGCAGGTGGTCCTAGGCCTGTATGTTGGGAACTATGGACCTACAGAATCTGGATGTCCAGTGCAGGGATTCTGAACCCTTTTCAAGTCCTAGAACTTTTGAACATCTGATAAAAGCTGGGCACCTCCTTTCCCAGGAAAATGCTCGGGTACACATACACGCAAAGTTCCGCAAGCAACTTCAGGCAGTCAACAGATTCCCCCAGATGTCCCAGAGGGCCATTCGTGGACATCCTAAGGATGGCAGACTGCAGGGGTAAGAACGCCTGCCGTGGAGGTTACGTTCTTCTGAGCACAGGCAGGGACTTGTCTCTCAAGTGTTCCCTGTGTGAGGGAGCATCTATCAGTGGGTGCTTAATAAATAATATGAATTAGGAGAACAAAACTTCTGATCTCTGCTATCCACTTCTGTTGTCTAAGGCTTCCATTTCACCAGACCAATGACAGGCAAGCAAAGACACTCACGTGCCAGAATCAAGGCTATGAGTTTCTGTCCTGGAAGCAGAGGCAGGGAGACCTCGGCTTATCAGGAGAAATTAGGTGGCATCCTCTGCCCAGCTTTTTTCTGGAGAACCCCTTTTCCTCTACATTCCGTTAATTCTCCAGACTCCACTCTTTTGTATCTGTTCCACCCATAAGTTGTCACCACGGAAGTCCCCACAAGCCATCAGCGCCCACCAGTGTTCCTGTACTGGACCAGGAGCAGGTAGGGCATATAGCACAGCCTGACTGACCCTGACCTCCTGGGACTGGACGGACACCTCGAGGTGTCTGCAAAAGGCGAGCCTCTTCCTGGCAACGAGAGCAGAGGCAAGCTGCTTTCCGAAAACCAGGATTCCAGTTGCGGACATTTTCCCTGGCACCCATCAGACCAGTTAAGCGGCGGGAAAGACAGGATGAGGCGCATTAACACCAAGGCCCGTCTCCTGCACTGTCCAGGAGCTGGGCTCACATTCCGGGGAGGGAAGATGAGGGAAAGTCTTAAAATATCCCATCTGGGTCTGACCTGGAACTCTTCTGGCCATAACCCTGGCCCTGTGGTCGAGATGAAGGGTCCCCCATGCCGCTCGTCCTAGGGCCCCTACAGTGACCGAGCCCTACCCCGCCCCTCCCGCCAGTCCTTGGTCAACCCCGAAGCTTGCTGAAATAGAAAGGGCTCCCCACGGGCGCCTAATTATGGTGAGGAGGCAGCAATTAAGCCTAACAGGGATCCTAATGAAGCACTGTCCCAGACGAGAAAGGCAGTTCGGAGGGAGCGTGGGTGCCAGAGAACAGGCCGGGCGGGGAACAGCGAAAACGAGGAGCTACTCCCAGCAACAGCGGCAGAAGAGCGAGCCAATGTTGCGCATGCGCCCCAAGGGCCACGCGCGGGATCGCTTCTACCCCTCCGTACGCAGGCGTGCCGTTTTCCCCGCCCGCCCTTCTCTGCAGAACAGTGAATGGATTTCAACACAGCGCCTCTCGACAGTGCGCTCGGAATCCGCGCGTGCGCATCACGGTGAGAGGATTTGCACGTTGCCAGACGCGAGCTCTAGGTGGTGTCACCCCTCCCGCTGGGAGAAGCACGCATGCGCGGAGGGTAGGCACGAGGGACGGGCGAGTGCGCGCCGCGGGCATGCGCCGTGCAGGGAGAGACGGCGGCTCGGTGGGGTCATCCAGGCGCAGGCGCAGTGCGGTGTTTGTCTGCCGGACTGACGGGCGGCCGGGCGGTGCGCGGCGGCGGCGGGGAAGATGGCGGCGTCCTCTCTGGAGCAGAAGCTGTCCCGCCTGGAAGCAAAGCTGAAGCAGGAGAATCGCGAGGCCCGGCGGAGGATCGACCTCAACCTGGATATCAGCCCCCAGCGGCCCAGGCCCAGTAAGCACGGCGGCGTGGGGGAGGGGGCGGGCGGGGCGGGGCGCGCGCCGCGGGCAGCCCCGCCCCCGCCGTCAGGCCCCGCCCCCGCTTCCGGGGCGCTCTTGCTCCTCCTCCTCGCCACCCCGTACCCCCTGCTGTCGGCTCGCTGGGAGAGGGTCACGGTGACCCGGGGGGCGTGGGGCCGCGGGCTCCCGGGCGGTCCTCCTCCAACGTAGGGGTTCCCCCTTACGGGGCCTACGAGTCCAGTTACGGGGCCTACGAGCCCAGTTACCCGGCCCCAGGGCAAGGCCCCCCACCTGATGACCCGCCCCCTCACCGTGATCCTCGGAGCCTATGTCACCGTCACCTACCCGGAGCCGCGCTCCCCTAATCCATGCGACCGTGACGACATCCAGATTCCTCGCAAACACGGACACCCCTTCCGACCAGATGATTTCGCTCCTGCCATCTCAGTGCCTGGCAGGAGGCCCCTTTCCCCCTTCCGCACCTGGGTCCTTGTCAGATGGTTCAGTAGATGATCCACTCACACTCACTCGTACCTGGCCCGGGTGACACCTGAGGTCATTTGACCACATATAACTTCCTATTCCTCTGACCTCCTTCCCCGTGACTGTGTCCGGTAATCCTTTTTTCCCAGGCTGGGACCTTGTCATTGGGCCCTACCAGGCCCCCTCCCACGCACACCCTACCCACATACACCAGGCCCCCTCAGACTTCTCTGACTGGTTTCACTGCCACCATCTTGGTGACTGTCTAGTTTCTCCAAAAGTACACACCCAGCCCCCCCAGCCTAACAGCTTTTCCTCACCTGGACTCAAGTGACTTTCTCTTCCCTGCACACCCACACTCACCTGGCCTAGGCATACGTGAGGCCAGTGTGGTGATATCTCGACCTCCCAGCCCACGTACACCTTATCTCTGATCCCGCTATCTCTGTGACTGCCTCCCTGGCATCTTATCATCTGGAATCAAAAGCTGCTCCTCCTTCCCCCAGCACTCACACCTGGCCTGGGATTACCACAACCACTGTCTAGGTTCTTTGTTATGTCCCACGGAACGCCCTCCCCAAATCTCTCAGCAAGAGGGCATCAGGTCTTCACCCCACAGACCTGATGAATAGCACCCCACCACACACTTTGTGTCTCTTGAGCTGGCAAATTGCCCTCCTTTGTACTCCTTCTGTTATGATCCTTGTAGCTTATGTAGCTCCCTGTGGGGTCATCCTGGTAGGAGGGGGCACACACCCCCATATCAGGGTATTGGGGTCACTCCCTGCTCGCCCAGCCTGACCTTCACAGCCTGACCGCCCCCAATTCCTGTGTGCGGTCCACTCCTCATCCCTCGCTCTTCTGACTTGGGGTAGCGTGGGTTCCTCCCTGGGGCAGAAAGCCCTGCCAGGACTGGAAGGTCCCTGCTGGGCTCTGCGGTGCTGCCTCCCCTAGCCCCGGTGTGGATGAGACAGGGCTGGGTATGGGGCCGGGGATGCCTTATGGGGTGGCTGTCCCAGGTGCAGAGCGAGGTACGGTGAGGCCCACGGCGGGAAGGCCCCTGAGGAGCCCCCTCCAGGCGTGTCTGTGTCAGCTCCATCCCATGCTCCCGGTCCTCCCATTTCTGTCGGTTTCCACCCGTCTCTGCAATTTGGTGCCTCGCGCCTCCCTCTCTTCCTCGTTATGATTTGATTTCTTTTCTTTTGGACAAATCAGTTGTTTCTGTTGTGATTTATCGTGGTGTTGTTTTTTTTCTTCCTTTTCCCCATCCAGTTATTGTGATCACTCTAAGCCCTGCTCCTGCCCCGTCCCAACGAGCAGGTATCAGCCTTTTTATCATCGTCGCTTGGACATCTGCACCATTGACCTAACCGCTGCCCCGCCGCAGAATGCCCTCCCCCACCCCCCATGCTGTGTGTGCGTGTGCGCGCCTGTCACTCTTACTTTCTCTCCTTCCACACCATCAGTGATCAACAGTGTTCAGCCCACTTGGCCTCTTCTGTGTCCACTTGCCTTCCACTCCTCCCTTCCTGGTGGGCTCAGGTTTGGACTCCCCGGAAGAGGAAGCGAGCTCCTTTACCCACCGGGAGTCAGTCTGCCGCCTGTGAGAGGGCACGTGTGCGCGCGTGTGTAAGGGGGAGAGAGAGAGAGTTGCGCCAGGCCGTCGCTGTGCCTGTTGATTTGTTTCAACAGCACAGCGAACACGTATCGCCCGACTTGAGACACAGCAGTGGACAGGGGACCGCGGGCCGCTCGACACGTGGCTGACGCTCACGGACAGTGAGCACTTTCCCGGTCTGGGAGAGGTGGGGGAAGCAGGGGTGCCTTGTAGAAAAGGCCGGTTCTTCAGGGGTTGGCCAGTCGGGGAGGCCTCTGGAGAAGCTGGGATCTGAGCACAGGCTCGTGGGAGGCGGGGAGCCGGAGATTGAAGGTGGAGGAAGCAGCCGGCCGGGGCCTGAGCGCAGTCGCTAGCGGGTCTGGAGCAGATGTGTGCGGTGGGTGTGTGTGTCTGTGTGCGTGTGAGAGAGCACAAGGGACAGAGAGACAGACACCTGGGTGGGGTCTGGCCCTGTTGGCCCTTGTGTAGGTGGAACTAGATTGGGGCAGGGGTGTGTGTGTGTGTGTGCATGTGTTTGTGTGTGTGTGTGTGTGTGTGTAAGACAGCGTGGGGCTGGCTCTGTTCAGGGCTCTCGGCATATCGTCTCTATGCGTGTGGGGCTTTGTGCCATGTCCTGTGTGTGTGCACGCGCACGCACGCGTGCATGTGTGTTGGACTGACAGCCTGGTACGTCTGTGGCTCTTGTTAGCCGTGTGCTTCCATGCGCTCTCTTGTTCTCTCTTTCCCTCTCTCTCTCACTCAGCCTCTTGCTCTCATTCTGCCCTCCTGACCTGCCGCGTGGCCTGTCACCACCTCTGTAACCTCTGTTCTCAGGGCCTTTGTGTACCTCCTCCCTTCCCCCACCTTAGCCACCCTACACCAGCCCCCCTCAAGTCCCCACCGTGTTTCAGTTTGTAGGGCCACTGGAAGCATCTGCCCCCCCCCCCACCGCCCCAGAAGTGTGGAGAGGGTAGGGGTGTGGTCCTCACCCCAGAGAGGAGCTGACCATGCAGGGCAGAAAAGGGGCCCAGATACCCCCCAGGGGGCGAGAGCCTGGCAGTATCCTCAGAGAGTCCAGGTACAGGGGAGCACCGGGGGGCCCCTCAGGTGCCCATGAGGTGGTTGAGCCAGAGAGGGAGGGATTAGGACTTTGGCCGTGACAGAGGAGTGAAGCAAGGACACTACAAAGCCAGGGGCTAGCGCAGCAGGGAGGGCGCTCCGGAGGTGAGGCCTCCAGGCCAGTGCAGGTGCTGGGCCTGGCCATCTCCCTGGGGCCTCCTGAGCTCTTCTTTTGCTCTGAGTAGGCCTTAGCAAGATCTGTGTCCCTTCTATGACTGCACACTAGGATCCTGTACTTGCTCCCTCACTCTGGATGTGGTCAGGGGCCCAGGGTAACAATGTGGGGAAAGTACCCAGATGCCAGCAGTTCAAGCATATTTGTCTCTGTCCATGGGTCACTGGGCCCACGTTACCAGGTGCTTGCAGAACTGTGGGAGGAGAGCATGGAGCGCGGCAGGGGGTGTAGGCAGAGAAGGGGGCATCAGCTGAGGGTTGTGGGAGAGTGGCAGGCCCCAGGCCTCCCGGCCAGCCATTCTCCATGGGAAGGTCCTCTCTGGCCCCACTTAGAGACTTTTTCAGCCAGTGCCCTACGCAGCTAGAGACCCCCTTCTGGAGCACCAGGGCCTCTGGGGTACGAGGCTTCGGTGGAGGATCATCTGTCTTCTCCAGGGGCCACACGGATCTCTGCTCCCACCCTACTGCCAGCCCAGCCAGGGAGGATCCTAGCCCCGCAGGAACCTACTGTTCTGTCCCAGGCCCCTGTCCGGCCTGTCTCTGCAGTGCCTTCTCTGGGCAGCTGGGCCCCAAGTCCTGGCTCCCATCTGTCTTGTCTGTCTCCTGCCCTCCCGATCCCCGAATGCCGCCTGCCCGTCCCGGGGTGCCCGCTGCCTGCCCGCTGCCTGCCCGCCTGCCTGTAGCATGCCCAAGCTGTCCGCATGCAGGCTGCTGAGAAGCCCCCACCGCCTGGCCCACTCCCCACCCCCCCCCATCCCACCAGCCCTTGGAGGGGCTGTGCCACCTGGATCCCCTCACCCTGAGGACACAGGCCCAACCTGGGGCCCTGCCCCCACCCATTGGCCCCAGCTTTGCAGGCCAAGCTGGGAGGCTTAGAGATGAGCCTGCTGGCTAGAGGGTGGCCCTCCCTGACCCTGGAACAGAACGTGGGGCAAGGCAGCTGGAAGCGTGGGGCCCTCGCCCAGTGTCTCCCTGGGGTCGTCTGCCTGATTCTTATTGGGCAGCCAGGGTCAGTGCTGCCAACAGGCCCAGAACCCAGGCTGATCCTGGCAGGCATTCCTTCCTCACATGGTCCAGAGTGTGGGCACTGTGGCTCTGGGCCTGCTTCCTGGGCAGAGGTGGGGAGGAAAGGGACATATCAGGAAGGCTGCCTGGCTGAAGGATGTCATCAGTCTCTGGGCCGTGATCACGTGTCAGCATAGACTTGGGGACAGTCCCTCAGCCTCTGAGGACCACCTTTCCCTGCCAGCCTACTCCATCTTCTTCCAGGTCAGGGGGGTGGGAGAAGGCACCCTGAGAGTGGTCAGGGAGACACTAGCTCTTCCAGCCCAGTGGGGTGGGGGCTGGGGGGTCTGTGCTGGCCTACCTGGTGCCAGGGAGGGGGAGACCAGAGTCCCAAGGCCCCAGAGTGCCAGGTGGTAGCCAACCCCCTCTCACCCTTGGTTCTCACCTCCCCACCCAGCCCTCCAGCTCCCACTGGCCAATGATGGGGGCAGCCGCTCACCGTCCTCCGAGAGCTCCCCACAGCACCCCACACCCCCTGCCCGGCCCCGCAACATGCTGGGGCTCCCGTCAACCTTGTTCATGCCCCGCAGCATGGAGAGGTAAGCTGTGGGGACGGGCCCAGCTGGCCAGTGGGGGGCGGGGGGGTCCCTTCGCCTGCCCTAGGGAGGATGGTGGTTAAATCTATGGGAACCCCTGTGTGCTGGGGACTGGGGTGGCCTCGGTTTGGTTGGGATCCTCCTCCACCGGGACCTCCTCCCTGTCCCCCCCCCGCCAGCATCGAGATTGACCAGAAGCTGCAGGAGATCATGAAGCAGACGGGCTACCTGACCATCGGGGGCCAGGTACCACCCTGGCCCTGGCCCCCTGGGGGGTGGGCAAGGCTCACCGCGGGGCTAGGCCTTGGGGTGGGGGGCGGTGCCCCAGGCCTGGCCCATCCTCCAGCTCTGGCTGTCCTTACCAGCGCTACCAAGCAGAAATCAACGATCTGGAGAACCTGGGGGAAATGGGTAGCGGCACGTGTGGCCAGGTGTGGAAGATGCGCTTCCGGAAGACGGGCCACATCATCGCCGTCAAGGTGAGCCCCGCCCTGGGTGGGCCCCCCACCCGCACCCCGAGACCGCGGCCCTCCGGTGCTAAGGCTCCCCTGGCCCTCCGTGCAGCAAATGCGGCGCTCTGGGAATAAGGAGGAGAACAAGCGGATCCTCATGGACCTGGACGTGGTGCTCAAGAGCCACGACTGCCCCTACATCGTGCAGTGCTTCGGCACCTTCATCACGAATGTGAGTGCATGCCGGCCGGCGGCCTCCACCGCTCCCCTGCCTCTCTGGGGGCTCCGCGGGGTCTCCTCCACGGCTGGAATCCGTGGGGGGGAAGGGGGCGGGGGCTGCAGCCGTGCTCCAGCCTCCCTGTGCTGCCCCCGCAGACGGATGTCTTCATTGCCATGGAGCTCATGGGCACGTGCGCTGAGAAGCTCAAGAAGCGGGTGCAGGGCCCCATCCCTGAGCGGATCCTGGGCAAGATGACGGTGGCGGTGAGCGGGCCGGGCAGGGGTGCAGCCGGCCGGGTCGCGTCCCCGCCCCGGGGCCCGGTCCTCCCGTCACCGGTGCCCTCCCACTGTCCTCGCTGCAGATCGTGAAGGCACTGTACTACCTGAAGGAGAAGCACGGCGTGATCCACCGTGACGTCAAGCCCTCCAACATCCTGCTGGACGAGCGGGGCCAGATCAAGCTCTGTGACTTTGGCATCAGCGGCCGTCTGGTTGATTCCAAGGCCAAGACGCGCAGCGCCGGCTGTGCCGCCTACATGGCCGTGAGTGGGAGCCGCGTGGCGCCTGGGCGGGCGGGCGTGAGGGATCGGGGCGGCGCACCCGCATCGGCCTGGGGGTACATCCTCCCCTTCTGCTGGCAGCCGGAGCGCATAGACCCCCCGGACCCCACCAAGCCGGACTACGATATCCGGGCCGACGTGTGGAGCCTGGGCATCTCCTTGGTGAGTGGGGGCCCCCGCCTTTTGGGCAGCATCTCCTCAGGATCCAGAAGGAGGCGGGAAGGGAGGGGAGGAACCCGTGCTCAGCCCATCCGGCCTGGTCCTCTCTTCTAGGTGGAGCTGGCAACAGGACAGTTTCCCTACAAGAACTGCAAGACAGACTTTGAAGTCCTCACCAAAGTCCTACAGGAAGAGCCCCCACTCTTGCCCGGCCACATGGGCTTCTCAGGGGACTTTCAGTCCTTCGTCAAAGACTGGTGAGGAGCCTGCCCCCCCCCCCCCCCCCGCCTGGGCTCTAGGGAGGTTCGGGTCCGGACTTCTGTGGAAGCGCGGGTGGCTGTGGCGAGAGGGCAGGTGCTCCTGG